AGAGAGCCTAGGTAGGCAAAAGTCAGCTGATCGTCTAACAACATAACAACGAAAATCAAGAATTAAAGCTGGCCTGTGTCACCACTGCAGACTTCTGTGAAATTCAGACATTTTAAGGCAAGAAAAGATAATGAAGTTGAGCTAAGAAGTGCTCCTACATACCACAAGCCATGAAGTTCCATATGCTCTGTTGCAGTAGCGGGAATTATGCTTCCATGAATGTCAGTAAAGTTCTTTTGCTTAAATTTCCCATAGGTCATTGTCAGCATAAGAAATGCTGGTCCCCCCATAGAGTCTCCACTGCCCAGACCTTCAAGAAAACTCATGGAAAATCTCTAATCTCTGTTCACCAAACATTTCTGTAATAACTTGTAGATTCAGGGATAGATATGTGTTCTTTACCAGACCACCTCTCTTTTGTGCACCAACTTTCCCCTTACAGTTTCCGCATCTCTCAACCATTTCAAACATCTTTAAAAAGTAAAGATACTTCAATCCTTCCCACCTGTTTAAAATTTCCTTCTGAAGGCAAAGGAGAAATGAAATGTTTTGCAATCCTTGGCATAACATACTATTTCAGCAGCAAATTTCACAGTGCAGCAACATGTCAAGGTTTTCTCTAGTTCTTCCCAATGAACTGCGACTGTGAATACATTAGCAGATAATACCGGTACATCAGGAGCAGGTCTGTAGAAACTGGCAGTGCTGAAGACCTAGCGTCCACTTCTCATTTCAGGATACCTTCCACCTTAGTTTCTCCTGAACAGAACCCGGATGACACACTCTGAGAGCACCCTGTAAGGAGTATCACAGGTGCAGTAAGTGGGGGCTATTCAGGGATTTGCTCCACACGGGCTTTCCTGACAAATTAAAATAAGAATGTAAACACATCCCAGGTGAGTATGTGAGTGCACCTCTTGATACGTCAGGAGGAATGGCAGACAATTAACTCTCAAATAGCTTAGACTGGTGTCCTAACTATGTAATATAGAGGTTACAAGTGACAACAAAACATGGATGTTAACACACATCCCCAGACATGCCACCTACCCTTACCTGAATACACTACCAAACTCAGGCGAGAAGGTCTTCTGTGCAAAATGGAATTGGCAGAGAACAGGACAGGAGTTAAGAGCCTAAACTTTTTCTGTAGCAAAGAGGTACTCTAAGCAGTTACCTTGAGAATATGACGACAGTGTATAATCTTTTTTCTGTTGAGAAATTAGATGAAAAATGCTAAAATTTTAAAAGGGGATGTTCTTGTTCCTGTGAAAAAAGGACATGTTAGAAATATCAGTAGAAGATATCAAGTCAAATGTTAGAGGGATTTCAGGAACTTGGTGAAACACAAGTTTTGAAGAATATAAACTGTTTGGAAAGACAGAAATAAAGGCAAACAGCAGCACTGTGTATTAACAATAAAGTATGTAGAAAGGGAAAGCTTCTGTCAAGAAAGATGCTGTTGAACATAAGCGTAAAAGTTAAAAAAAAGGAGACTGGGAGTGTGAACAGAAAAATTTCCATCTCTGAAGTGCAAACACACTCTGAGAACCCCAGCATGCCCACAGCTGCGCCTACCCTGATAACCTGCACTTCAGAAATCTGCAAGAAGCAGATTACCTGGCAGCCAGGGTATCTAACCATCTCTCAAATCAAGGCGTGTATTGTACGAGTAGAACAGGGCTATAACAAAGACAGGCTGAAAAATTCACCTTTGCCTAGGTGCCCTTTCAGAGTGCCACACAGGAGTGGATATGCCCGATAGCCACTAACCACCGATGCCACTGCAAAAAAGCGTCAAAAAGATCAAAGGTTAAAAACACACCATGCCTGTGGCTGGAAGAATCTTGAGGAGAGCGAAGGAGAAAAAAGAGGTGTTTGGAGTGGTATGCAGTGCTATGTGGGTCCTAGATGACAAAATATTTCTCTATAATTCTGGACTGAACTTCTGCTTAAACCATAAGGTGTCAGGAGTGACCTGGGCAGTTCCAGGTTCATTATTCAACCACAGTTATCCAGAAAAGTTTATGTGGAAAGTGAATTTGGAGGGACTGAAGTTCTGGATATCAGCTGTGACTTAAAATGCAGTGCATCTTTCTTGGATTTGGGTCATCCTGACCACTTACTGAATTTACCACTCACTGACTTACTGAAATACTTCTTTGGTAGGACAATAGACTTGTAGACCAGTGAAATGCAGTACATCTCGTATTTTACTTGTATAAATATACCGAAAGTACATTTTCAGCAGAGTGCTACAGTATTCTGGTGGAAGCAGTTAACAACTGAATAAGGAACTGGCTTCACAGGCTGAAAGTGAGTTTTTCTGTATGGGGCTATCAAGCCGACTGAAGTTACAAGCAGAGTTCAGCAGTGATCCTCCTTCTAATTCTATGTCCAGTTGTTCTTATTCATGTGCTTTTACTTCCTCTTATGTCTTTGTGCTTATATCTAACATGATCTGGAATGAAAGGTATGAAAGAAAAAAGACCAGCACCAACTTTTGAATCCTCCACTTGATCCACTTTTGTAATGGAGACCATCACTGAGGACATTTTGTTCAAATACGCTAGGGTCGTTTGCTAGCTGTGTTACGCTCACCAAGGAGCTGGAATGGGAGATGCAGTATGATGTGGAAATTGCTTATGTGATACGGAAATTGGCTGACTTCATTCAAATTAAAATTCATTTACAGTTGATAGGAGTTTTGCTCGATAAAGGGCTAACTATACTGTGTCCACGTTTCTGTGAAGAACCAAATGTCTTTACTCTAGCACTAAATGCTGGAAAGAAAGAATTTCTTACTCTGTTTCCTGTTTAAAAAAAAAAAAAATCTGCTGACAGAGGAGCATGTGGCTCCTAAACTTCCAGTTTCCCAACTCCCTAAGCCCAGTTAAAACTCTTGAAAGGACAACAACAATTTGGTAATGATACTTCTCCCTTAAACTAAGTTTTCATTTGTGCACCTTACCAGTAGATTGATCTCGTCTCTGTCCTGTTCCAAACATTCCCAGAGCAGTGGTAAAGAAACTAAAGATTGTAAGAAAAAATTACGGTAGTAAATGTGAAAATATTTTAAATAATCAGCAGACTTATGATTTTTCCTTTTTTATTATTTCTGCCATCACTAATGGTATGGGACAAACATCCCTGTGGGACTCCAAAGCATGTAACGCCAAGGGACTGCATTGTCAGCAAATTAAATGAGAAACACAAGGGATGGGTAAAGGTCAACATTATATCCCTTTTTAAAGGTAGAAAATTAAATCACAGGGAAATTAAGTGACTGGTCAAAGGTCAAACAGAAAGCAAGTTGCAGAGCATGGAAACTGAGAAATGGTGTCCTATGTTCAGCTCCTTAACTGCAAGACTACCCTTTCTTTAATCTGAAGAGGATAAAAAACTCAGTGCTGGAATATTAATATCAAAATTAGTTTCGCTGAGAACAGTCTGAATTTCTTCTGCCTCGTCCAAAACTGGATATTGTTCTGCCTCATTAAAGCAGAAATGAGATCCATTCCAACAACCCTGATGTGGTCAAAACAAAATCACAACTGCCCTTTAAGATCTTTGTACTCCGAAAATTTGGTTTGCAATCAGCTTTGGAGAAACAGTCAAGTCAATGATCAATTTCATTGTAGCTTTCGAGAAACGAACAAAAATGCAACGGTTCCCTTCAGAAAGAATGAGGTTAGAATCTACATTTGAGAGAGATTGTGGTATTCCAGGTGCTTCGTCCACTCCTCGTATATTATTGTGAGTTTCTGTGAAAAATGCGCATATACATGTATACACACACACACACACAGAAATATACTTACTTATCCACATAAATATACATACATATGTGTGTGTCTATACATATGGACACATATATATGCATATACACATATATTTACCTTAGCAGAGAGAAATCACACAGGATTTAAGGAACACAAGGCAGTCCAAGGAAAGAGGCAAACAGGTGATTTTCCCATACCTTCTCTTTCTTGATGTAAGAGAAGCCCAGACACGATGTGATGTTACAGTATACCTAACGGGGAGCGATCGCAAGCTCCATTTCTGTCTCAGGGGCTAGGAAGCTCTATATATCTTGCCAGGCCCAAGGGATTAAACTGCAGTTACACCACACGCCTGGGCTTCGCTTGCCCTAAACACCGTCAAGGACAGGGGCTGTGCTGACAGCCCCATCAGACTGTAACCCAGTCACCCGGAATCACTCCTGTCACCTCACGGGCAACGTGGGAAAGTTCACATGAAAAGCCTAAGCCGAGGTGCAATAACCACGGGTGCCTCAGCACCGCAGCAAGGCTCTGCCTTGGCAACCTTCCCCCTGCGTGTGGAGCAACAGTGAGCTTGGCTCCTAACCTTGGGCTGGCCCGGGTGGCTTGGGTCACAGGAATGGCATGCTTCAGGGGAGGGGGGGGGAATAGCGGGGGGCTTCTTCTGAAAATATTAACCCGTCTATTTGGAGAGCGAGGGCTGCCTTTGAAATCTCTCCTTATAGATCTATACTTAGCAGCAGGGCAAGGAGCGTGCGCTGGGGGGGGTGTGAGGGGTGGCCTGGGGGAGGGCTCCCCGTGAAGCCCCGTGCCTTTGTCCTCCAGCCGTGCCCCCCGCCGGCTCGGCAGCGGGGACAGGACAGGATGGCCCGGACGCGGCTCCCGAGCCCCCACCTCGCGTCCCTTCGCTGCACCCTGAGCTCACAGGATTTCAGGGCAGGGGGAGGGGGGGGGGGGAAGAATTGAGCTGTATTTCTCTTTTTTGCTTGTTTTCCTTTTTTTTTTTTTTTTTTTCCAATTTTCCTCCCCCCCTTCATGCCCCCCCCCCCCCCTTCTAAATAGGAGATGTTCTCAGGACAGCGCCCAGGAGACTGGCTGGAATCAGTTTTGGAGGGTGATACACCGCGACAGCTAGAAGTTGGATAGGGTTTCAGCAGCTCCTATATAAAGCAGGGGGGACTTATGTCACCGCACTAATTAAATTCCATCCGAGTTGTTCCTCGGGGTGTTTTTGAGCCTGCCACCCAACTCAAGCAGGCAGAGAGGCCGAGGGACAGCATGATGATGGACCTTTTTGAAACCGGCTCCTATTTCTTCTACTTGGATGGGGAGAATGGAGCCCTGCAGCAGCTGGAGATGGCCGAGGGATCCCCGCTGTACCCAGGCAGCGATGGCACCCTGTCGCCCTGTCAGGACCAAATGCCGCCGGAGGCCGGCAGCGACAGTAGCGGAGAGGAGCATGTGCTGGCACCCCCGGGACTACAACCCCCTCACTGCCCCGGCCAGTGTTTGATCTGGGCTTGTAAAACTTGCAAGAGAAAGTCGGCCCCCACGGACAGGCGGAAAGCGGCCACCCTGCGGGAGAGGAGGAGGCTGAAGAAGATCAACGAAGCCTTCGAGGCGCTGAAAAGGCGGACTGTGGCCAACCCCAACCAGCGGCTGCCCAAGGTGGAGATCCTGAGGAGCGCCATCAGCTACATCGAGAGGCTGCAGGACCTCTTGCACAGGCTGGATCAGCAGGAGAAAATGCAGGAGATCGGGGGGGACCCCTTCACCTTCAGCCCCAAGCAGGGAAATGTAAGCACTGCCGCTCCATCCCTCCCGCCGCCCACGACCATGTCCGTGTCCCCCCTCCTCCTCCTCCTCAGGGGGCTCCGGGAGAAACGTCCGAGCTCCTCAGGCCTCCAGCGGGCAGCCGGCCCGGCCCGCCCCGGGGAGGAGGGGGGGGGAGCCGCGGCCCTCCTTAACTAATTAATACCTTAATTAAAACCCCTCCTCTCCCCCAGATCCCCAGTTCAGACTTCCTGAGCACCTGCAGCTCCGACTGGCAAAGCGTTTCCGACCATTCCCGGGCCCTAGGAGCCAGCCCCAAGGAAGGTAACGTCCTCCGGGACGGGCCGCCGCCGGCCTGCCCGCCCTTCCCGCCCTTCCCCTCACGGCCCTCGGCAAGGGCCGGCCGGTCAGTCCCCGGCCCTGCCGCCCCTTCGGGCCCGGCCGGGGCGGGGGGGGGGGGGGGGGTTG